TGGAGAGCCTCCCAGACACCTCAGTGTGATTTCCCACTCCTCCTCGGGGCATAGCTTCACCATGTCAGCATGGACTCTGGGGTCAGATGACCAACTGCTCTGAACCCCCATCCCTCATCTGCAAAGTGGGGATAACCAAAGTAGCTAAAGTTGTTATTAACCTGCTTACCGTTAATCTGCTAAGGTTGTTATTAGGCTGAGGATTATTATATCCTCTCGAATTGGCCCCCTTGTCATTATGAAATGGACTTATTTATCCCGGGGAATATTCTTGGCTCTGAAATCTGCTTTGTCTGATAGTAATAGTCACTCCAGCTTTCTTCTGATTAGTGTGAGCATGGCATATCTCTTTCCATCCTTTTACTTTTAACCTCTTTGAGTCTTTATATTCGAAGTGTGTTTCTTGTATGCATGTAGTTGGGTCTTGCTTTTTTTCCAATCTGGCAATCTCTGATTTTAATTGGGGTATTTGCATTTAAAGCATTTATGAACATGGTTTGGTTTATATCTACCATATGGCTATTTGTTTTTTATTTGAACAATCTCTTCATTCTCCGCTACTTCTTCTTCTCCTGCTTTCTTTCGGATTAACTTAGTATTGCTGAATTCCATGTTACCTCCTACACTGGCTTATAACTCCTTGTTGTATTATTTTAGTGGTAGCTTTAGGGTTTATAGTATAAATCTTCAACTTCCCACAGTCTACTTTCAGGTGATATTATACCACGTCAGGTGTAGCATAAGAACCTTACAAAAGTACACTTCCTTTTCTCCCCTTCTGGTCTTTATGTGATTATTGTCATACATTTTACTTTTATACATGTTATAAAACTCACTCTACATTGCTATTATTTTTGTTGAGAGTCAATTACGTATTTTTTTAAAGATTTATTTATTTATTTGAGAGAGAGAGTGTGTGTGTGCATGAGCAGGAGTGGGGGGAGGGCCAGAGGGAGAGGGAGAGACTCTCAAGTAGACACCCCTCTAAGCACAGAGCTCAACTTGGGGCTCCATTTCACAACACTGAGATCATGACCTGAGCAGAAATCGAGAGTTGGACACTAACTGACCGAGTGGCCCAGGCACACCTCAGTTAACTTTTAAAGAAATTTAAATACTAAGAAAAATCTTATATATTGAGAAAGTTATGGAGCACCTGGGTGGCTCAGTTGGTTAAGCAACTGACTCTTGATTTGGGCTCAGGTCATGATCTCAGGATCATGAGATCGAGCCCCAAGTCAGGCTCCCCACTCAGTGTGGGGTCTGCTTGAAATTCTCTCTCTCCCTCTGTCCCGCCCCCCTGCTGTGCTCTCCCTCTCTCTCTCTAAAATAAATAAATAAAATCTTTAAAAAAAAACTATTTTTGGTGCTTTTCATTGTTTTGTGCAGATCCATATTTCTATCTGATATCATTTTCCCTCTGTGTGAAGAGTTTCCTTTAATATTTCTTACAGTGAAAGTCTGCTGGTGATGAAACCTTTCAACTTTGGCAAGTCCAAACATGTCTTTGTTATCACCTTTTTTTTTTGAAACATAATTTTTCAGAGTATAGAATTTTCTCTTGATTTTTTTCCTTTAATACTTTTTAAAATGTTGCTCCACTTCTCGTTTTAATTTTTTTTTTTCCCAAAGAGAAATGTGCTGTCATCCTTAACTTTGTTCTTTCATACATAACGTTTCTTTTATTCTCAGGCTGAGTCTTAAAATATTCCAGACTGGCTTGTGGGAAAAGGCACTATTCCCAGTCCCATGTGAGGACCACATACTGTTCCCTCCACTCCTTCCAGGTGATTCTTTCCCTCACACACATGCAATAGTCAGTGCTCAGCTGGATATTTGAAGGGGGCCACTGCAGATGCCTGAGCTCTCTCTCTGACCAACCAGTTCTCTTCTGTCTCCTATGCTACCCCGTGGATTCCAGGTGCGTTGGTCTCCCTCGACTCTCAGCGTCATGTCTTCAAATCAGGGAGTTCACCGGGCTCTGCCTCAGTTGCCCCTCCTAAGGCATGGTGTGGAAACTCTCGAGGTAGTAAACTGGGACAAATGTAAGGCTCATTTAATTAATTTAATTAATTTAATTAATTTCCTCACTCTCACTGCCTGATGTCCAGTGTCTTGCTATTTTAGTCAGGAGGGTAAATTCATGTAACTTCAACCTGGTCAGAGTGGGAGTCCCCGAATGTTCATTTCACTGAACTCTTAGGGCCACCCCGTTCCATGCACAATGTATGGTGTCCGCCCTCGCATTATCCGGCCCTCAGGTCAGGGAGCATGTACCTTGCACACTGCTCCACACACAGACAGAACTTAGAAACACTGAACAATGACCCTTCATCAGCAGTCACTAAGGCAATGATGTGCTTGCACAAACATGAATTATGTTAAGTTCCAAACAGTATTGTTCACTTGATGATCTAATTTTGGAAAAAAAAGTTTGTATGAGATCTCATTTACCCCAGGCTTTATGCACAAAAAGTGACAGACCATGCTTCTTTTAGCACTATGTTCTTTTAGCAACCAAATGTCACTCTTGCGACATTCAACCCATCACCCAAAGAAAGCAACAATCGAGGAAGCTTCTGTAGCAAGAGCCAACCTAGGACTTTCTCATGGTTTCCTGACACACAGTGATAATATTATTAAAATAGACAACCAACTGCTATGGAAACATTCAATGTGGAGAGAAAGAACCTCAGAATCCAAAGGTTTGCCCAGAACAGTTTAAGAGCAACAACGCTGGGATGCTGAATTCTTGCCTAGACCAAACGCTGGAGGCTGCTGTGTCTTGAATCTTCCTCTCCGGCCCGAGATAAGCTAAGCAGACAGGAAGAACTGATCACTTTTGTTAAGTGTCAATGCCTGCAAGACATTTAGCAGCCTTTCTCCCTTTCCCATTTTCAAATACACAGTCTTAAATCCCAAAGAGCCAAATTAGTAACATTCCAGTGAAACTAAATTATCAGAGATAATGAATGCACAGGGCAACAATTCAATCAACCAATCTGTCTATCCACCATCCTATTTGCCATCAGTCCATCTGTCCACCATCCCGTCTGCCCATCAGGTCATCTGGGAGGGTATGAAAGCCCAGGGGCAGGAGACCACTGGCCATGTCAGCCCATGAAATGAATCAAAGGGCATGAGCCAAGGGAGGAAGATGAGAGGACCACAGGTGGTTTTGAGCACACCCTCGGGTTGAGTCATCTGTCAGAAGCCACAATATCTGCATCGGCTCAGCACCCCCAACAGAACCCCAACCCTCCCCTATGTGGGCTACCTCTGCCTGAGGGGTCACTTCCGGTCTTACCTCCCACCAGCTAACCTAAACTTTCTTGTTCGACCCCAGAATTCCTGAGTTCTGTTCCTAACTGCTGCCAGCAAACTCCTGTTCCAAGAGATAACCGCCTTCCTGGAGCTACAGGTGGAAACCAGTCACGTGGCAGGAGCCTCCCACCTTGCCAGTGCACTAAGGAAAGTCATGATGAGCCACGGCACCTGGCTGCCTCAGAGGAGCTCAGCTCCTGGCCCAGCTGTACCCCAGTGCTAGCTGTTACTTTGTTCTGCATTCTCTTTCCTCCCATGTGGACTCCCACACAACATCCACAGGAGCAAAGCAGGCATGTCCACCACTATCACCCCCACCACCGTCACGGACACAAAGTGCACACCTTACTAGGCCTCCCTGTATCATGGGTACATCTTTACTTAGCCACCTACTTTCAGGTGATATTATACCCGAGAAATGATCACAGGTGAGAAATGATCACACTGGCTTTCACAGGAGGCCCTCGTGCATATTGTTCACGTTGGAGAAACTCTAGGGCTGTGCCTATTGTGAAGGCCCAGCCCTTCCTCATTCTTTGCCCTTCATCCCTCACTCCTCACCCCTCCATAGGTCCTAGCTCTGATACAGAGAGGCAGGGCAGCAGACTTTCTGGAAACTTCCCCTTCCCCTTTTATTTTCTACCACTGCCCTAACTTGCCCTTGACCCCTTCGCACTGAGGCTAAAACTTGTCATCCTCCCCTGCAGGTTCAGGGCTGCTGTTTATAGGACAATATTCAGCCAAGTTCAGGATCAGACTCAGGCCAAAACCCCAACAGGGGCTCCTTCTTCCCTCCTTCCTCCAGGAAACGTCTTTTGGAGGCTCCAGCAGTGCCTGCATCCAGCCCACATGCCAATGAAGCAGTGTAGTCCCAGGGGGTCACCAATGCAGGGCTGTCATCTGGGGATGAACCCCAGTTGCCACCACAGCTGATCCCCATAGCCCTGCCATGCTACTGCATCACAGATCCACAACCCCACACCCCACCCGCTATGCTGTCACAGACCCCACGTGGGTTCCCCTTCTAACCAGCTCCGAGCCCCCGTAAGGATGCAGAGACTCTCCAAATCCTGTTTTCTGTATCTTGCAGGGGCCTCTGCTCTCAGGTTGTAGGGGAATTGGGCACAGATTCCAGCTCTTCTCAGAGTCCCCCTCAACTCTCCAGTGACTCAAAGTCAGATTTCTCACACCTTGTGCCCCTCACTGCACAATCCAGTCTGAGGCCCAGTGCTGGGGACACACTGAGCAGTCTCCAAATGCTTGGCACATCCCTGTCTGCCTTCTTCCTGGGGCTGGACACCCCTGGGGTCATTTCCTGCATTCTTCCCAAGGGATTCAAACATTGGAGAAGTGCTTTCATCATCTGACCCTCATACTGTCCTTACCCATACTGTCAACAACAGCCACCACCAAGTTTAATGACATTTACTGCAGGTCTCCACGGGCCAGGCCATGGGGGCTAGCATTTTACAAACACAGTGGTCCCCATCAGTCCTCGCAGCATGGTAGGAGGCAGACGCACGGATCGCAAGGCTAGGTGATGCACCCAGGGTTATGAAGACAACGGGTTTCTGCCTGAAGCTGATGCCCTGCTCGCGGGCACAGAGTGCTGGCCTCACACTAGCTACAGCAGGGGGACCTGGGGGGCTGGCGCCTCTGGGGCCTGCAGGGCTCACCATGCCTCCTGTGCACTCGCGGCAGTCCTGCAGGCAGCTGACGTTCTCCCAGGTACTGTAGGCCTTCAGCCCCGCCACCAGCGCCTGCAGCGGCCGACTGTCCACAAGCTCCTTCCCACGGAAGATGTCCTCATCCAGAAGGACCCCGGCATACCTGCGAGAGGAGCGCAGACGTGTGAGGGATGCAGCAGTGCCCCCACCCCCACCCCCAGGAACCATGGCGCAGGCGCGTCTGAGACAAGCCCAGGGTGACACCTGCTCCTTCCTCAGCTGCTACCAAAGTCTCCATGTGCCCTTCAGAACTGTCACCCTGCACCCTGCCGCCGTGAGGCTCCACCACGCCATCTGCCCCTTAGAAAACTTCTCCCTTGCTTTCTGTCCAGGCTTACTTTTCTGCCAGCCCCTCAGAGGCCCTATTGCTCACGTTGGCATCTGTCTTCAAACAGCCCTTGACCCGACAAAAAATGGGCACTCAGTGTAACTCCCTCCCTGCTGTCGTCTACCATATAAGATCATATTCCAAACTATTTCCCTCTTCCCTTTGCACAAAAATGTTTTACATGTCTCTTATATATCTTTTTAATTTTTCGGATTCTACTTCCATTGAAAGTGTGCTAGGCAGAATAATGGCCCCCAAAGATGACCAGGTCCTCATCCCTGAAACCTGAGAATATGTTACCCCACATGACAGAAGGGATTTTTTTCAGATGTGATTAAATCTAGGATCTTGCAATTGGGAGATTACCCTGGATCATCCGGGAGCCCAAATGTAATCACAAGGGTCCCTATAAGTGAGAGGGAGTCAGGAGAAGGAGATGGGACAACAAAGTAGTCAGGGAGATGCAGCATGAGACTCAACCAGCCATTGCTGGCTTTGAAATGGATGAAGGAGCCACAAGCCAAATAATGAGGGAGCCTCCAGAAGCTAGAAAATGCAAGGAGTCAATTCTCCCCTAGAGCCTCCAAAAGGAATGCAGCCCTGCTGACACTGATTTTTCATCATTGAGACCTATTTTGGACTCCTGATCTCCAGAACTGTAAGATAACAAATTTGTGTTATTTTAAGCCACCAAGTTTGTGGCAATTACTTATAGCACCAATAGAAATGTATACAGATAGGAATTAACTTCTTCCTTCAAAGTGGTAAGATTCACCATTTTCCTTCACCTCTCAGCCACCTATGACCACGACTACCATGCAGCACAATGTCTATGGGCCTCCCTCCATCTGCATGCACACCCCCTCAGTTCTGGTTTTCTTCTTTGCCATGTTTCAAAATACTATAATGGAAGGTACAGGTTTCCCTCTCTCTGCCTTCTGAACAATTTCTTATAGAGCTTGTTTTTAAAGTCTCTTAAAATGAGTTATCATTTATAACAACTGCTGGGGATAAAAGCTTTAGTGAACTCTTTCTCACTATGCTCTACCAAATTCCAGGACTGGCCTCTGATCAAGGGTGTTAAACACACTGAGCTGGGTACTTTCCTCTAAGCACCTCAAACTCATGGAAAGTACCATGAAGTATGGCCTTTCTGGTCTTCTCAACTGAAGCTTCAGACTCTGGAGATTGATAAGAGTAGTGGCAGTTAGAGGTGTTGATTCATTGACTGTTCTCTATCAATTGAGTGCCATCTATTGAGATGATTATATGATGTTTCTCCTTTATAATGTTAATATGACAAATCATATAGATTGATTTTCAAACGTTACACAAGCCTAACATTCCTGGGATAAACACCACTTGATCACTGTATAGAGTAAAATACACTGTATGTGTATAGAGTAAAATACACATACAGATCACTGTATGTGATCTACTAACATTTTGTTCACAAGGGATAGTGGTCTCATAATGTCTTTCCCTGGTTTTTGGTGTCAAGGTAATGCTCCTAAAATGAATTAGGAAGTTTTCCCTTCTTCATTTATGAGAAAGTTTGTGTAAGGTTAGTATGTTTTCTTTTCTTAAGTATTTGGTATATTTCACCAGCAATGTCATTAGATTTTCCAGTTCTTTTTCAGTCACTTTTGGTAACATGTCTTTCATGAAATTTTCTATTTCATATATATTGTAAAATATATTGGCATTACGTTGACATTATATCAATAATAATAACCATAGTATTTAATTTTATCCTTTCAATCCATTTGAAAGGGTACTGTAGGATCCTGCTGTAGGATCTGTAGTGATGTCCTCTCATTTATTCCAGATGCTGATCATTTGTGTGTCTTTTTTCTTAATTAATCTAGCTGAAGGTTTATCAATTTTATCTATTTTTTGAAGGAAAAAATAATTTTTGGCTTAATTATGTTTATTTTTTGGCTATTTCTTATTTCAGTGATTTCTGCTTTCATTTTTATTATTCTTTCTTCTTGATTTGAATTTGATTTGTTCCTTGTTCCACCTGAGACTAATGTAACACTGTATGTTAATTATACTTAAATAAAATAAATAAGAAAAGAAAATAATGTGCATTCTGCTGTTGTTGGATAGAATATTCTATAAATTTCTTTTAAGTCAAGTTCATTAGTAATGTTCATATCTTTTATATCATTATTGTTTATTATATCAATTACTACTTATTAAGATGGAAATTTACACCATTGATTTTCTACTTTTCTCCTTTTCTAATGTAAGTATTTTATTTTTTCCTCTAAGAACTGGTTTAGCTGTACACCACAAATTCTGATATGTTGTTTCATTTTCATTTTGTTCAATGTTCATATCTTTTATATCATTACTGTTTATTATATCAATTCTTATATCCATTACTAGCTTCTTAAAATGGAAATTTACACCATTGATTTTCTCCTTTTCTCCTTTTCTAATGTAAGTATTTTAATTTTTCCTCTAAGAACTGGTTTAGCTGTACACCACAAATTCTGATATGTTGTTTCATTTTCATTTTGTTCAAAATATTTTCTAATTTCCCTTGAGACTTCCCCTTTGACCTACAAATTATGTGTGTTGTCTAGTTTCCTAATATATGGGATTATCCCAGATGTTTTTGTTATTAATTTCTAATTTCATTCTAATCAGAAAACATACTTTGTATGATTTCAATCCTTTAAATTTACATGGTCTGTCTTGATAAATGTTCTATGTGCACTTGAAAGGAACAGATATTTTTCCAAAAAAGGCATACAGAAGGCTAACAAACATATGAGAGGACACTCAGCATCAAAAATCATCAGGAAAATGCAAATCACAACCACAATGAGATATCACTATACACCTGTCATTATGGCTAAAATAAAAAAACATAAGAAATAGCAAGTGTTGGCAAGGATGGGGAGAAAAAGGAACTCTTGTGCAATGTTTGTGAGAATGCAAATTCGTGCAACCACTGTGGAAAACAGTATGGCAGCCCCTCAAAAAATAAAAATAGGAATACCATATGATGCAATAATTCCACTACTGGGCATTTATCCAAAGAAAATGAAAACACTAATTCAAAAAGATATATGCACCCCTGAGTTTACTGCAGCATTATTTACAATAGCCAAGATATGGAAGCAACAAAGGCATCCATCAATAGATGAATGGATAAAGAAGATGTAGTGTATATATATAAAATGGAATATTATTCAGCCGTAAAAAGAATGAAATCTCACCATTTGCAACAAGATGGATGGACCCAGAGGGTTTAATGCTTAGTAAACTGTTGTCAGAGAAAGATATATCCCATATGATTTCATTCATATGTAGAATTTAAGAAGTAAAACAAGTGAACAAAGAAAAAAAAGACAAAAAAAAAAAAACCAGACTCTTAACTATAGAAAACAATCTGGTGGTTACCAAAGGGGAGATGGCTGGGGGAATGAATAAAATAGGTAAAAGGGATTAAGAGTATGCTTATCTTGATGAGCACTGAGAAATGTATAGAATTGTTGAATCATACATATATTGTACACCTGAGACTAATATAACACTGTATGTTAATTATACTTAAATAAAATAAAATAAGAAAAGAATGTGCATTCTGCTGTTGTTGGGATATTCTATAAATTTCTTTTTTTCCCTTTTTTCTTTAATTTTTTATTGTTATGTTAATCACATACATTACATCATTAGTTTTCGATGTAGTGTTCCATGATTCGTTGTTTGTGTATAACACCCAGTGCTCCATGTGGAACGTGCCCTCTTTAATACCCATCACCAGGCTAACCCATCCCCCCACTCCCCTCCCCTATAAATTTCTTTTAAGTCAAGTTCATTAGTAATGTTCATATGTTTTATATCATTACTGTTTATTATATCAATTACTACTTATTATATCAATTACTCAAAGAGAATGACTGATGTTTGCAACTATAATTTTGGATTTGTTAATTTCTCCTTTCAATACTTTCCATTTTTGCTTCATGTATTTTGAGGCCATTTTGTGAGACCATGAACATTTAGATTGTTATGTCTTTCTGATGAGTAGACTGCTTTGTCGTTATGAAATGTTCCTCTTTATCTCTGTTGATATTCTTTTTTCTGAAGTCTACTTTATCTAATATTAACATATCCACTCAAGCTCTCTTATGGTTAATGTTCGCAGGTGTAAAGGTTTTATTCTCACACTTTTAATCTATTTGTCTTTATATTTTAGGTGGGTTTCTTATAGCAAGCATCTAGTTCAGTCTTGATTTTTTTATCATGTCTGACAGTCAGCTAATTAAATAGGAGTGTTTAAACCATTTACACCTAATGTAATTATCAACATGATTGAGTTTGAAACTATTATCTTGTAGTTTTCCTCTCTATTTATCCCATATGTTCTTTGTTCTCTTTTCCTTCTGCTCCTGTCTTCTTTTGATCAGTTGCTTAGGTTTTAGTATTCCACTGTTAGAGTTTTAGCTATGTTACTTTTATGTTTTATAGTGATTTTTATGGTCTAAAATATGCATCTTTAACCTAACATGTTCTTCCTTCAAATAATGTTATACCACTTCTCAGATAATCAAAGAACCTTACAATAATACAACAATACACTTCCATTTCATTCTCCCATCCACGGTGCTACTGTTGAAATTATTTAATATCTATCTACCTATCTATCTATATCTTCTACATATGTTATAAAATTCATTGTTATTTTTGCTTTAAATAAACAATTTATCTTTTTACCTTATCAACATTATTGAAGATAATTTATTTTACAACAGACT